TTGTTATATTTTGTTTGATATGGTTTAACGACTGGGCACGTTTCAGTGCATTCTCTCTCCGAAAGTTGAGTGTCCGATTTAACATGAAAACACACAGGTATTGTTCCAGATCAACATAGATTTAGGACATTCATTCACACAAATCGTATGAAGCCAATCTTCCGCCAGGTTTTTTTCACCACATGTATTATTTTTCCCAACCCGCTACCCAAGCACATATAGGAGAAGTTATGCATAGGACATTTATCAGCACAAGCATTTTTTTCACAGCAACAGATTTTGAGATGGACAAGCAAGTACACATCTTTATCATTATAATCTGTATTTCAATCGCTTCCACATTCTTTAATACAATGTTCAAAGCACCCCCGTTGTGTATGTTTATTGTAGAAATAGGTTAAGGGGAAATCAATCCGGACAAACTTTCGACACAGGTATTGTTAACAACACAAATGGTCCCGTTTGTCTGGACACTTTGATTGTACAACAATGTTTTATTATCATATCCGTCAGCAGGGGCATTCATACGGACACTGTGTCAGACACCCGAGTTGTGGTTATTAAATAAGGTGTATTTGATGGACATTGCTCAAGACACGAGGAACCTATCACTACTTTATTTTCGGGACAGACATTTGTACAGAAGCTACCATCATTCATTGATGGGCATTTATTTCTACATTTGTAATGGGGTAAACCATGAACAGTTATAATAATCATAAAAGGTCGCTTCTCTGGACATTGTAAAACGCAATTATTTTCATCTATATATCTGGATCCTAAAGGACAGAAATTTACACACGAGTCATTAGAAATAAACATGCCATACCAGCTGCATATAACACATTTTCTTTCTAAATACGGCTTGCATACGTGTTGTTTAAGTGTCTCTTTGTAAAATGTTCCCTCCGGACATGCAGAGATGCAGTTTCGATTTTCATCAACAAACATTTCTCCACAGTCGGAGACACAATTGCTTCCATTGATATAAAAGGGAGCTGGACATTCGAAGATACAACCAACTTCACTACAGAAAGGTTTATCGAATGGACATAATTCAGTGTCACTGCAGTTTCTTGAACGAACAACCTGAAATGCATTGGCCCATTTCAACAAAACATATACATTGCAAACATAACATGATCTAGTGTCAGTGTACTATACAGTATCAAATACCAATTTTACAAATATTAGTAGAAATGTATATAAAGTGACAGAAAACAAACAATTTAACATACCAATATGGTATATACCATCTAGAATGAGGAGATACATTCATAATTAATACATAATTAAACATCTTTACATATGTATGAAATATTCCATCTAGAGAGTGTAGATACATATATAATGATACATTTAAACAACATTAAGTAACATTTTACGTTCTTGAAAAGCACAATATGCAATCTCATTATAATATCTTCATTTTTGATGATATCAAAATATTGAACTTGTTTATATTAGGGGACTGATAGAATTTAAATGCATTGTATTTCTCTTTAATCTGGAACATTTTAAAACAAAATGAAATTCAGTATCAATCTCAGTATTACAAAGTTTGCATATTCATTTATTTCTTTCACTGTTAGTATCCCTCTTTCTATTTCTAAGTCATGTAAAGAGGTTTTTAGTTTACCCAGTGTATTTCTATTTTTTTTTAAACTGTTACACAATCCAAATATGTTTCATGTTCATCAGTTAACTTGTTTTGTACATACAATGAAATTTTAGAACTATTTCCCACATCAGAATATCAAGTTTGATGATACTGATCTTTTAGTCTAAGTGAGAATTTTTGAAGGAATAATTTTCATCGGGTACGCTCTGATCAAACCAAATTTGCCCAAATCCATTTCTCATAAGTAAATTTTTAATAAATATAATCCAATTTCTGTGGCCATTGAAATCAAAACATTTCATCATATTGTATACTATTTTTACATATCTTTGCACATCCATCGTTGAGTTTCTACAACAATATTTAACAAGAAAAGCATTGATGCAAAGCATCAAAGGGCGTCCATGCAACAAATGCAGCAAGTGAAGATGAACTAGTAGACATCTGATGCCAAGATATTCTTATAAACTTTTCAATGGTTAATTGGTTTTTCCCAGAATTGTATAATATTTATGAATAGGCGGACGAAAGACATTGCTCATCATGAACTTTGGTAGGCATGCTAGAGATAAGAATACTTTTTTTCCACAGGAACTTGAAATTCTATCAATATTTACGATACTATCTAAAATATACAGGTCTATAACATCCAAAGTGCAATTAGTTGTTTGAATATGTTTTATTTTTCATATATCATTTCCTGCAAAATTCTTCGGTTCGTTATATATAACTATAACGCTACACGAATGGCCGTTTCGTTAAACTAAAACTACTTCTTTAAATAGATTGTCGGACTTTCACAATGTAAAGGTCATCATTCTATTTATAAGTACAGTAATACACAATAACCCACTGTGTGTACTACATAATGATTAATAAAAAAAACGCAGAACGCGATTAATTCACGGATAAGATAATTTCATTTGAATATGTTTGCATTACGAAATTCTCCAGTTCGCTATTCATTGTTCGCGACATTTCATTTTTGATAACCTAACACTCTCATGCCAATTGGAATGATGTGCTTTTATGACCGACGAAAAGGCCCGAGAAGTTGCTGCCACCCTTTCACAAAATCTGATTTCATTCCATAAGGGGCGTCGCGCTTTGTCGCGGACCCCAATAACTCTTTTAGGAGTTGTTATAAACATAGGATATCAGTCATGATCCCATGAACGGTCATATTAATTGTTCTTTTGACCTTGGCACATATATCTTTTACATGCACAATTGTGCCCCCACTTAAAGGGGGGGGGGCATTTAGATTTACCCTTGTCCGTCCGTCCATCCATCCGTCCGTTCTCTTTTGTGTCTCACGAAGCTCAAAAAGTATTTGACCTAGAGTCATGAAACTTTATAGAAATGTTGATCAGCATGTGTAGTTGTGCACCTTGGTATTTTTTTTAAAGTATTTTTAGAGTTATTGCCTTTGACTCAGTAAAAATTTGCAATTTCCGACTTGTGTCGAACGTAACTCAAAAAGTATTTGACCTAGTGTCATGAAACTTGAAAGGAATGTTGATCAGCATGTGTAGTTGTACACCTGGGTTTTCGCTTGTGGATTTATTCTGTTTTGTCAGAGTTATTGTCCTTGACTTAGTATAAATTTGCAATTTTCATCTTGTTCATGCATAACTCAAAACACATTTGACCTGCAGGTCTGAAAGTTTACAAGAATGTTGGTCAGCTATGTACCTATACACCTTGGGGTTTGCTTGAGGATTTATTCAGTATTTGAAAAGTTCTTGCCCTTGACTTACTAAAATATTTCTATTTTTTAACTTGTGGAAATGATGTAGACAAAAAATATTTGAACTAAAGTCATAAGATTGACAAAACAGTGGAGTGTGGGGGCACCCGTGTCCTATGGACACATTTCTAGTTTAAATTGTTGATCAGCATGTGTGGTCTTGCGCCTGGGTATTTTTGTGTAGATTTATTCAGCATTTGCAGAGTTATTGTCCTTGACGTAGTGAAAATTTGCAATTATCAATTTGTGTTGTGCGTAGCCCAAAATTATTTAATCTAGAGTCATGAATTGATCTAGAGTCTAGAGTTGTGTAGTTGTGCACCTTGGGTTTCGCTTGCGGATTTATCTAGTATTCGAGTTATTGCCCTTTACTTCGTAAAACAACCCTTTCATTATGTTATTTATTTGTTCCTTGCGGGCTTGAGTTAGTATCAACCAACTTAACAGGAATAATGATCAACATCACTGTGTAGCTATGCACCTGGGTCTTAGCATGTGGATTTTTTCAGTTTTGTTAAATGTGCGTGCGTGAAAAATGGGGGTTTAAATTTTCTGAGGGAAAATGATTTTTTATTTATCGGGAAAATTAAAAAAAGTGTTTAAAAAAAGTGGGGAATATTTTTTGATATAAAATTGGATAAAAAATTGAAAAACAAACAAAGTGGGGTTACAATTAATTAAAAATGGGTGATAAAGAAAAAAAAAGAAAAAAAAACAGAAAAAAGCAGTGGTAATGACCCCGTAAAAAATGTAAGGAAAATTTTTGAAAAATAAAATTTTAAACAGAGAGGCCCTTCTTTAGAAAATTTTAATGTTTCAGTTTTGTGAAAGTTCCCAAATCAAACAAAATGCTGTACTATAAAAATGAAAAAATGCTACTATTGGTGACCTTCCCGGGGCGAAAAATTCTACAAAATTGGGTTTAAATTCCCGTTTTTTTTAAAATTTAAAAAAAACAAATTGCCCGGGGCAAAACGATAAGAAAAGGCGGACAAATGGCGGGGAAAAAAAAATAAACAAAACCCACTAACAGTGCATTATGTTGGGGTTTTTAAAAGGGAAAAAATTTTAAAAAGGTTAGGATTAAGTTGGGAGAAAAAAACTTGTGCATTAGACCATTTCGAAAAAACAAGGGAAACAGGATTTGAAAAAAAATAAAAAAAAATTTGGTTTTAGCCCTTTTATGAAAAAAGCAAAGAAAGTGAAGAAAGTGTTTAAAGGGTTTAAAAAGGAAAAAAATGGGAAAAAAACCCGGGCATTTAAATTTTAGCTTTTTCTTGCTAACAAAATCCGATGAATTAGAAAAAAATCGTGATGTTGCCCGTTTATGAAAATAACAAACCCTTTAAAGTCGCAATCTATGCGCCCAAAAAACCTCATATTTTTCGAATTTTAACCCGGGGGGACAAAATTAAAGTGGGAATGAACCAAAAGGAAAGTTTCCAAGCAAATGTTAAGGAATCATCTTCATGAGGCCCTGAAGATCTCGAAGGAAACAGTTAACGAAATCCGATTTGAACGTGTACACCGATCACAAGGTCATATATTACCAGGAAAAAAGAGGACAGTTGTGGCCAAATTTACGTATTTCAAAGACCGTGAGCAAATGCGCAGACAATGGAAAAAATTACAGGGAACGGATTTTCAAATGTACGAACGATTCCAACTGGAAGTGATTTCTAAGAGGAGAAAACTGGTCCCCAAATTAAAGGCAGCTCGAGATGAAGGAAAAAGAGCATGGGTAGCGTACGATACACTATTTATAGACGGACGACCGATCAATTTAGGATGCGAAGGAGATGAACTTTCGATACTTTCATGGAATGTCCACGGACTTACTAATGATAAGAAAGTAAATAAAGATTTTGTTAATATTATAAGTAAACATGATATTTGTTTCTTATATGAATCATGGACAAATTCTCAAAGTAATATTTCTATTAATGGTTACGACACTCATAACTTTTTTCGAAAGTTTCAAAATAAGAATGCGCGCAGATGCAGTGGCGAAATAGTGCTTTATTATAAAGAATACTTAAAAGAAGAAATTCAAGTTGTTCAAGAATCATTTTAATACAATTATTTGGTTGAAATTAGATCGTACTTATTTAAATGTTGATGAAAGATATATTTGTGTGGTGTATATATTTGGGGGGCGAAAAAATTCCCACCTGTTATAAAACTTTTAAATACTTTTAAATACATTGACATTTAAAATAATTTTGAAAACGATCAAGAAAAGAAAATGATGTTTTTTACTTATGAAATGCTTGGTTTCTATATATATCTTTTGGATTGACTTTAACAGTAGGGGTAGGCATTAAAATTGATTTCAATTGTAACATAATAAAGTAAACAAAGACATTGAATGATATTAGATTTATGAACCCGATAGTACCTCATGCAGGTCCACAAATAGATGGTAAACATAAAAAATATGGATATTAAAAACTGTTAGACTTTTGTAAATCATCATTTTTACTTATTATCAATGGCCATATTCGGGAACTACTAAAAGTAACTTTATACTTTTTTTTTAAATCCTGCATAACGGTTTTTATCTGTTGATTAAATGTATTATGGCAACGAAACGCAATTTTTCATTGCACACGAGATCAGTGGATTTTTTCTATACATCCATTTTAATGAATGGAGTGTATTCTAATTTCCCCGTTGACTCTTGTCACCTGTATGAAAAATAATACGCACGATAATAAT